CATTTGTTACACCCACAGGCAGGTCGAGGTGCTATCACACTGTCTGTCACTGCATTGGTTCAGACAGTTTTGGTTTCATGTCTCATTGTCACACTCTGCAACACGACGGGCCCACCACGGTAGATCACAACTCAATGAGTGTGCTATAATCATGGGTAATATTAGTCCCTCGTACAGCCTGCACACAAAGTTAGCAACTCACTCAGCCATTGAATTGTCCACAAAATGGAAGTCCTACGAGTGGTAGTGTGCTGGCGATTACATGCCTCTGTGTGAGAGAGTACGGAATATAGACTGCCACCTGTCAGATCTTCTCTTTATGAGAGCCTCGGTGAGTTAGATCGCTTTTTGCATTGTGCTGGTTGATAAGGTGCTTCACTCTGAGAGTGTGGGTTCGAATTACCAGAGCAAATGACGTCCACTTTTATCAATAGTTAGTCTTTCAAATGTTTCCGTTTGCATATTCTTACAAGACATCATAAGTTAAAGTGGAATTTGTCAGCGGTTAGTCTACGAGTGTCTCAGTCACTTGAGCTGCGTCCTTTGTTTTTTGGCACAATAGCCGTGTCATGTGTGTCGATGTAGTGGAAAACATCAAAGAACTTCTCCATCACATCCACTAAACCAGTCTTTCAACCATCCACTCACTCAAGCAATTACTCAACCATCCACTCGTTCACAAAGCCATCCACTCACCCACTCAACCATTCACCCACCCACTCAACCATCCCCTAAAAAAATAGCCATTCCCTCACACACTCAGCGATCCACTCACTCAATCAACAACTCACTCACCTACACTACCAGTCAAAACACACACCCCACTCTATCATCATCATTGGTAATAAACACTCGGAGCATTAAAAATGAATTGGAAATAATACTTACAACCACCCAGCCAAGTATTATAACTTTACAATTTCCTGGAAACAATACACCTCCCATTGCGCAAGGTCTTCACCAGACATAATTCAGTTGGCTATGTCCTCCTTAATACGAGATTACCAACAGCATACCTATGCGAGTAGGTTTGTGTAAATATAACGAAAAATCTACAAAACGTGTTTCTTAGTCCCTTGGGACATACTCTGCCTCTGGGAATATTGAAGTCAACCCGTATAGAATATGAGTGAGTGAGTATGGTTTTACACCGGCATTTTTGCAGCAATATCACGACAGTCAATTCTTCTATATGAATACGTCAACAAAAATAACTTCTCAGACTGTTCATTTAATCATCAACACAAAAAGCTGTAGACACCCGGTACGAAATGAGTTCGGCACATTAATGCAACACAAGCGACAAGACAAATGTCAGACAAACCTAACTCTATTTTCAGACAATCAGGAAGAGGTTAAGTAGAACGAGATCCCGGTGTCGATTGAGTTGTACTGATCACTGACGCTAGACGCGATGTTGAATACACAGTTATTAAACTAGAACCAGAGAGAAAGGCTGATGATATCACTCTTGGAACTGTGTAAATCGACAAGGACTATTTCAAAAAGGAACCCGTGTCGGTCATCTGATGGTTGTCTGTCGACTATTCTTGTCATTGTGTCAACGTGCATGTTGACGGGAATTGGCTCTTGGGGGAAAAGGTCAAAATCGGCATCACTGTCCTGGAACGTCTTATGCACAACATATAAACAATAAACAACAAATACACAATGAGCGGAATACCTGCTCTTACAACACAAACACAGGGATGAGGCACCTTCTACACGAGGTCTTCCTTACACCAGCACTCAAAATACCAAACTGACTAACAGTGTAATAAATAGGATAAAAATGTATGGATGAACAACTTCTTTATTACAATTAAGAGCGACGTTTCGGTGAAGGTTCTGACACCGTTATCAAGCAAGTGATAAGAAGTTGTTCATCCATAAGTTCTTATCCTTACTTAGTACTCCAACTTCTAACAGCCTATCAAAGAAGTTAACGGAGACAATGGCGTTGCTCTGGACATGGGACATGTGGGCGTGATGAACCGACACAGCTCAGGGGATAATCAATTAAGACAAAAATGTTATACTATATATAACAGTAATTAACGGGAAGTGATATGGTAGCCCAGGTTGGCCAAAAGTCAATATACAATTAAATGTTGGTGAGGATTAACAACGGGGATTAGCGTCAATGGTTGTCCCAAATCAATCGCTATGACAACTGTCTGAAACAAGCCTCACATTGCACAATATTCTCAAATGGTCGGAGCCTTAATTCTGATTCTAATTCTGATTCTGAATATAAGACCAATCCGCAGAATATCTTTTGCACTTTTTTTCAATATCATCTCCATTCACCTCAATACACTTTTAATACCACTTTTATAGAAATCTGCAGATTAGCCCTATAACCTACGTGGAAGACGCTTCCATGATGACGAGGAAGTTAGCGTGCAGCGGACAATAAGTTCATTGTTTCACAGTCTGGCATTAGCAAACAATGGAACAGGTACCAACAACCCAAAAGGTTGACAATCGATCCCGGTCAGTTCGTTCCATGTCAACGATAAAAGCACAGGATCGATTGATCCGAAACCAGGCTCTACAAAATCGAGCTCAAACGATTAATCGAGTTGCTGCAAACTTTCTTCAGGCTACTGGATTACGAGTTACCTGTCAGACGATCAGTATTCGTCTTCATGCAGCTCATCTCTATAATGTACAGCCACGTGTTGTGCCGCAGACATTAATGGTGTACACAACGTCGAAACTTGGGTAATCGTCGCTGGTCACGAGTCCCTGTTCACTTTGCACTTCCTTGATGGTCGTTTCTGGCGACGTCAAAGTGAATGTCAAGCCAATGTCAACCTCAGACCGCATAACTGTTATGGTGATGGATCGTTTTGGTGTGGGGTGGTATCACTTTCAGTGTGCGAACCCCACTTCATGTGCAAAGAAGGGTCATTGGATATTTCTGTCGGGACAACATATTGACACCGTTGTATGTCCCGTTTGCATAGCGTTTGGGTCGCAGTTTTGTCTTTCAGGGCGACAACGTCCGTGCTTATCGTGCACATATCGTCAATGTTAACATCCTGCAGCAGAAAACGTTCCAAGAATGCCATGACCAGCAAGAAACCCAGACCTTTACCCCATTGAACACATCTGGGACATGATAAACATGAACTTGACCAGGCGCTGCAAGGGAAGTGGGCCAGACTTCCTTTAAATCGCCATTGGAAGACTCATACGCAGTGCGCCTCGTCGATCGAATGAATGTTTGACAAATCGTGGTGATAAAACGCCAGCACTGAAATTTCCCATCTCACTCCTGTTGTCTTTCAAGATCGTTGGCGTCGACATTTACTGTCAAACTTTACTTCCGGTTGTATTATGTTCCTAATCCGTTCATTATTTTCATACAACTATTACTGGATGCTATTATCTCCAACAAATATGGAAATTGTAAATTGTTTCCTAGTACCCCTTACATTTTGTAAAGAGTATATGATAAAGCCAATTGTTGAGTGAGTGAGTTAGCCTTGAGTACCCCGGACGGCGAGGGAAATCAAATATGGCCTTCACACAGTGTACCCATGTGGTGAATCGGACTCAATCGTTGAATCGGTCAGCGAAGCTTGTGATGTCCTTACATCAAGGGATAAGCCCTGGTTTAACAGCAAAATTCATTGGCTTAAGAACAGAGAAAAGGAAAACTTTAAAACAAATCTTTTGATTTTTCAAGGAACGAAAATAAAGAAACGTTGCAAATACAATTCAAAAAGAAGCAAACGATGGCGATTGGGATCGTTCAGTTGTTAGCTGTCTCTAAACAAATATAACGAATTATTGGAAATTACTTCTAGTCCATTGTAGAGGCCTTTTCTCATTTTCTTTTGATCGACGTACTGGCACCAGTGACCCGAGGCATTGGCGCGTTTTAAATGGAATGTCATTTGTGTAATGTTGACCGGAATAAGGCAAGGAGTAGAATACCCAAAGTATGTGAAATGCATTGTCACACGCGTGTCACCCTTAACGTAATGGGATACAGTGACAAAGCTTCACATTCGGGTTTCTAAACCAACTCGATTGAGTCGTCGCGTATGTAATATTTTTTAATCTTCTTACAGTAATAGTTGGCCTATTTTTATGCTTGTGTCCCTCAGATGAAAGTAACACACTATGCACAAAAAGCACATATAAATATAATGTAATGTATCGCTTATGTTTTTATCGTTTATGATGTTAACCTTCAGGATAAGGTAATTACCCTACACCGAGTCAATGGACAAACAAATACACACCTGTGACGCATTCAGTGAAGTGACACTATACATATATGTTGCCGTTGGAGTTCAACCCGCCATATTTTTCACAAATGTTTCATTTGTATCTGTTTACCGAGTACACTTTTTATATACAACTCCTGATATCTACACAACAACAAGCCTGGTGATTCGCCCGTGAGAGTCAAACAGGAAGTCGGGTGATGAGGCGCGGCGAGTCAACATCTCCCACTATCAACGCTTGTAAATAAAGACTAGATTTGTGAATTATGAACATTTACGCTTCAAAACATAACACTGACAACAACCTCAACTGTCATATAGCATGTCAGCATATTTAGACGATATACCACCATTGCATATTTCATTATCACAGTCGAAGTTTGTCTTTAGTTGTGAATACAATTCTACTCAAGTTCCGTTTCATTCGGTGATTTTCGAACGATTTCTAAGAGCGAGAATGATGTATGGTATGATTATAATTATGTTGTGACAATAAAGTATACACATTGTGTCAATCTGCCGACATTTTATTGCATTGGAAGAAATCGCTGGAATAGTTTTCCTCATACGAATCACACAGCAGATAATATTCAATACGATTTATATCATACACGTATCAGTTCAACAACGGCAATGTTGTCTGATATACCATTCGGTAATGTATCTCAACGATTCTTTTAAGTTCAAACTAAAAGAACAATGATACGTACTCAAGCTTCAGGTCCTGAAACCCACGTCTGTAAAGAATGTACTTACCTGCTGCGAGACTCAGACTGGCAATCACAAACGCAACACTGGCCCACACCGCCATTGTGACACCCTGCTGCACACACCAGGAAGGGAATCACGCTCCCATATAGATCAATCTATTGTAAATCACCGTGACTTGTGACTATCCAGAGACGGGTCAAATCACTGCTATCAGTTGGTGAATAACAATCGACGAACTGTGAACTGTGAAATGGTTGAATGTACACAACGCTACTTTGCTCGCCATATACAAGGATTCGGTATAAGACATCCAACCGCTTCGTCTATTTCTAACTTGGTAAAATGCCGGTTGTGAGAGCATTTGGCACCAACTGCGTTGTATTCAAAGGGAGATATGCCGTGAAGCATTCTTATCACCAGATCGAAAAAAACATAATTTATAGATTCAATTTAGTCAGAGAGACAGATAAGGCCACGGTAGCTCATGGATCATCACAACTGTAAACTTTTGCTCAATTTGCAGTTCTAGAATATGTAAACCCTTGATCTGCGCGATCTCTGGTATGGTTGTGCCGGATCAGTTATACGTTCCCATCATACACACGTGTGTGTTTGGAACACGTGTCAATGTACATGTTTTCATATTATCTGCCTGATTTGCAGAATATTACAAGTAGTTAATTCTTGCCGGGCACCTCTGAAGGGTACCTTGCTTTGGCCATTAAAATTACCTAGTATTGTTAGTGCAGCAGTATGACATTAGCACGGACAAGAATATAGGTCCCCATACCAGCAACCTTTACTTGTAAGAGCCGACTTAATTGATTGGTCGTCAGGCTCGGTGAGTGCCAAAGAACCTAGAACTGGGCTATTGCTGAGTGCAGCGTTAAACAACAAAAACGCCACTAGATGTGATTAAAGGTTGTACAATATGAAAGAAATCAGAATGCACAAGCTAAAATTCAAATGAGGAAATATCAATTTATTCGTTAAATACGTAGCTTGACATAACAAGACTTAATAAGTGAGTATGAATAATGTCTTACAAAGCCTTCAGTTGTTTTACAGTCAGGGAAGGGAAATCATAGCATATACAATCAACACACATACTGGCATAGAGGAGTGACTACAAAACCTGATTTCATTCACTGTGCAATTAAGAGTGCCATTTTGCAAAAATATTTTCACAGAAAATGACGAGTATGCAAGTTTTGTAATAAGTAGTGTCTAATCTGAATGCCTTGTGCAAATTCCCTTTAAGCATGAAATTACCTATCCTCCATTTTAGGTATGACATCCACGTGTATCAGTTTGACAACCAATATGGCTGTTTAATTAGGTTTTCAGAGATAAAATCCTGGTGTTGTTTTGTTGCAAGCAGCACAAGTTAGACTAATTCTGTTGAAATGACTTTGACACTCTGATCTCAGATAAGAATGAAAACATAAACATATAAACAGTGTACATATTCCACTGGAAGCATATATGGACATCCGAAAATGAAAATATATAAGAAGCCTGCATCTTTACAAACAATACAACAATAAACTAAATGTTTCCTTGGTAAGTAAATTCAAGGTATCACCAATCTATTTTAATCATTACTTCTTCGACATCATTGGTGTTTCATGATGATCAGACCATTGGTTCATCATGTATGATATCCCGTCCACATGTTACACTGGCGACCTTGTTGAAGATGTTTCCACCATCAGTTTGCTTTGGTACTTGCCTAGTGGTTAAAGCGTTCGGTCGTCACGCCGAAAACCTGGGTTCAATTCCCGACATGGGTACAATGTGTGAAGCCCATTTCTTGTGTTCCCCGTCGTGAAATTGCAGGAATATTGCTAAAGACGGCGTCAAACTCACTCACTCACTGTACTCTTCTTATCAACACACTCAAGCATGTTTTTGACTTTTACATCTTCCTTCGGAGTGGTGTTTGGCTACAGCAACTTGTGCAGTGTGTTTAACATAAAAGTGTAAGCGCTGTTACATACATTGATGAGTCAGGTCTGTGATAAACTGATAATCCTGATCAATCCATAAATAAAAGCGACAAAACCATTTCCATAATCATAAGAAATATGTACTACAAGCAGTCGTTTGTACAAATTCCACTCGATCATAAGCTTGTGTTTATGAATCAATGTCGATACCAGGTCTCATTATCAAACTATACATTGCATCTGTCATCGGCAGATATTTCTGATGAATATGGAAAGGGTGGTGTCGCTTTTTTTACGAGTAAAGAAAGGGTGATTAAATACTACGAAGCCAATGAGTGAAATATAACAGTAAAGGGAGAATTGTATTCAAACGGGAATTGTATCCAAAAAGCAATTACAATATCAATATAGATTTATTACAGACAATTTGACTGGTTCACAGGTTTATATGAATGGTTGGTAGTGTATGCGATGCACATACAATATAATGTTTTTTTCATCACTTGGCAAGGCTACAAAGACAGATGTACATCTTGAGACATGAACTGGAATACCTGTACTGTTCGTATGACTTTGGCTTCCTTATTGTTCTAACAATTTCACAATCTTGGCCCTGACCAATCGTCGAATTTTGACACATAATTACAAGTAATGTTACAACTTCCCTTCCATACGCTACATGTACACGTAAGATATTTAAGCAAGGAATACTGTTCACATGTACAAATCTTCTGTTGAAATTGAACATTGGCATTATAAAATATGTAAAATGTCAACCCCAGAGAATAACTCGATTATCCGCCAAAATAGATTCCACAGGGTGTAAAAGGCAAAATAGCGGCGAAAAGAATATGAATGGATCACTGAAAACCAGCGACTATAACTGATGAACGCGAAAAGGGTAAACATATCCTGTCCTACCGCTACTCACAAAATTTGCATAAAAATGTAAGTGCTGTTGCCTGACGCCGCACAGCAGTTCTCCTGCGGTGCCTGTTAGCAAACCAGACAATCACGTGATCGATGGACAAGCAAATCCAATGAAACGATACACCTAAATTAAAGTATGTACACCGTTCACATCAAGGCTAAAAGAAAAGTAATCATCAAATATAGTAGGAGTATTCCTTTTTAACTGTGGTAATATTGGAAGTACAAAAAATATCAAGTATACATGTATCTTGTAATATGTTGCAAATACACCTAGAAGCATGTTTACTGCCTTTACTTGAATTAAAGTTACACTGTCTAAGTCTCATTTTAAACATTTTAGTTCCTGAAGAGTTGCCTAGTAGCCAGGAACTACGTTTACTTTTCACTGTGAGGAACTCATCTCGTACATAATAGATGGGTTTGCTATGAAATTTGCGAATATCCACTTGCAGAAAACATCCTGTGTTGGTTTAACATGAATTAGTAAAGGTTAATTAGGGATGCCAAACACGTTAATTAATGAAAGAAGAGTAGTCAAAACACTATCATTCCCTGCCCAGGACATCACACCCCTACACGCTAAGGTCGGTGAGAAACTTTCTCATCAAAGAAAGAATTTTCGGTATGGACTCTCGGTACGTAGCTATAATTATCAGTTTATTACATTGCTGAAGATGCATTTTGATTCAAATTCAAATGAGCAAAACTATACGTTTCTGGACAATTGAGATCTGCCTAGATATGCACGTTTCGTTTTATTATTCTGCAATCCATTTTTACTGTTACCCGCTGGCCCGGCCCGGCGCCGGCCCGACTTTTGTTGGCCCGACTTTTAGGCAATCCCCGTTTAACAGCCACACGACTGTTTTATGGTACACCATAGCTACCCAACGCAGACACACTATATTGAATACGAGCCGACCAGTCCATGTTTTGTCCCCTTAATGTTTTCTCAAATCACAGGCTGTACACTAAACATCATATTTGAATACACTGGCATTGCGTGACATATGGCGTGATATATTATTTTGTATGCACAGACTTCTACTGTTTGTAGTATCATGATTTATGTTCGACAAAGGTCCATGACCTTAATACTAATTCATTGTTTGAGTATACCTCTAATCCTTCTGATATGACCCAGTTACGACATGTGGCGTATTTCTTTTAACGGATAGCCTGGAATTGACCATACACGGTTCTGAAGATGAAGAGTTTACATATAAATATTCAAGAATCAAGCACAAAGCTGACATTTCTTATATATAGAACTTATATTCCGGTTAAGAAAATTACTGAATGACACAATGTATATACCCATCTTTCACTAATGACAAAATATGTAATCAATCATGCATAAATAATTCTCATATCATAATGAAAGTGCAACACAGAAAAACATTATACCTGTACAAGCAATGAATGTTTTGTTACAGGAAAATTTTGAAAAAAGTCAAGTTTGTATACTTGTTAACTTTCCTTTCTTATATATTGTTATTGGTTCAAACTCAATAGTTGCTACGTATCCAAAATAAACACTACAGATATTGGCAGCTAGTAACTGCATATAGGACAAATATAGATCTGTGTTTTCAAATAGACACACTGGCAAACAATACGTAAGCTACGTATAGAATTCGTCCTATTCTGGAACATTGGAATACATATGTTTTATCCCTGCGTTAAGACAAACTTTTCTCTGAAAGGCGTAGAATAATTCTTATAATCCAGACAACAATATATATTTTTGTAAAACCAAATACAAACGATTCTTTCCCAGTATTGTCCAAACAAAGTATCCAATCACATAGTTACTACATGTTAATAGTTTTAATTGTTCCGACCCTGCTGTGACCTCAGCAGTAAGTGACCCACCACTACCCGACTATCTTTTTTAAGAACCGTCATCGCGAAACTGATCCAAGAAAATTTACATATCTTATAAGTTACTTGACAATTTCAGCTACTTAAGTTCAGCTGTTTCAGAACTGATGGTATCGAGACGGAAATGTGACAAAATTTTGCGAATGGTGAAACTGTCAAGGCAAAACCAACGTCAAGACTTACTAAATAGCAGAGAAGTGAAACGAATGTTGAACCCCGCGATGACGATAACGACGACGATCATGAATGACGTAAGCTCGCATAGTAAACTATGGTATATAACGAACTAATGGACCACTTATTTCAGTTCGTTATAAGTTTCGTATGAGCATGTATACAGCATATAAATGGCCGGGACCAAAAAGTTATTTCGTTATATCTGCCAGTTCGTTATAAGTTTGTTCCTTTTAAACTTATTTTACTCTATATGTTAGAACATGTCTCACTAAATATAAAGTATGCAGGGTACTAAGCTCGAATCAACCGAGGATGAAAAATATCACACATAAAAAGAGAATCAAGTCCATCCGTGAAGAAGTGACTAACCACTGAGACA